CCTGGGACAGGCTGCTCAGGGAGGCTGGGGAGTCTCTATCCCTGCAGACATTCCAGCCCCACCTGGATGTGTTCCTGTGGGATCTGCTCTAGGGGATCCTGCTCTGGCAGGGGGGTTGGACTGGGTGATGAAGTTCCTCCCAACCTCCACCATTCTGTGATTCTGTGCATCCTCTGTACTTTGGGATTGTGTTTGCCTGATGGTAGGAGCTGCAAGTGGCACCTTCTTCCTATAGGCTGCTTCCATGGGAGTCTTAGCTATGGATTAGCTGCTTTAAAATCATCCTCCTACCCACCTGAATCCAGATAATAAAGAGATCTCTTGATTTATGTGTTGTTAACTTGAGGAACTAATTACTGCCTTTTTTCCCTATAGGTTTTGTCCACGTTGTGTTCAGGAAAGAAAGAAAAAAAAGTAAGGAATAGAAGAGAATACATCCTGTGAGGCAAGAAGAATTTAATATATTCCTTCCTTCACGTTGCAATATTATCTTTGATTTCTTCTTATTTTTTTAGCTACCCTCCTTTTTCTGATACAATATTTAATTGTCCAGTGGCCAGTTGTAATTCCTGTTCTTTCACAGGAAAATGAGGCTGGGAGAGAGGGAGGGAATTTGCCACAGGGAGTTTATTTATGTTACACTTGCACAGCACATAAATTGGTGTGATGATGAAGTGCTAGGGCAGCCAGCACCTGTAGTCTCTGTGAGTTTGTAGGAGTCTGTGAAACCACCTAAGGAGAATGAAATAGCTGTATCTTCAGCCTGATGCATCATCCAAGTGGCTTATGCCTGGAGCTTGGGGTGATAGGGAAGGAGTTTTCTCCTTGCCCAGGTGTGAAGCCCATTTCTTGTGCAGTTCTGTAGTGCAGGAAGGAGCAGGGAAGCTGCCTCACTCTTCCCAGTGTGTTCCCTCAGAGCCAAGTGCTTCGTTTTGACAGGGCAGGAATGGGAGAGAGGTAAGATAAAATCTTCTCTTCTGGGGAGTTTTTTTCTGTCTTATCTTTGCACTGCCTTTCACTTCACCTAATCTTGCCCCCATTCATGTGAACCTTAACAGAAGCAAAGCTTTTTGGTTTTTCACCTCCTCCTAGGGAAAGGTTTGTCTCTTTTGGGAGAAAACCTTTAAATAGCAAAGAAATTGTCCCACAGTGGGGTTTTTTTGTGATGTGAATACTGAGAGAGTGTTACCTCTTCTGGCTGTTCCATTTCTCTTGAAGTGCATTACTGTGAAGATGAAACCTTCAGTGTTATTCCAGAGTTAGAAGGTCAGATTGATTCATAAAATTAAGATGATTTGTGCTGCTGGTGTTGTGCCTGGGTGGCACCTGGGAGAGGAAGAGGACCTTGATGGGGATGCTCAGGAAGGATGAAGGGTTCTCAGGATGATGAGGCAAAACTGCAAAGTGGCCACAGGGAATTTGGAGGGGGAGTTGGAACAATGATTGCTGTGAAGTTGTGCTGTTGGAGGTGGCTGTTCAGCAGTTTTAGCAGGAATGTTCTAGAGTTACTTCATGCCTCCTTGAGTGGGGGCAGATTTGCATGTTCTTGGTTTCTTGAAGCTCTTTCCATTATGAATGTGAACCCTTGCTGCCCTCACAGTGTCAGTTGCTGCAGCAGAAGGAAGAGAAGGAAATCAAGAGTAGGAAAACAAAAGTCCTTCTGTTGGTTGTTTTTCCTTCCTCTGAGTTAACAGTGGATGCAGAAGTTGAGGGAAAAGCAGAGAACTCTTTGTCTTCATACGTGTCTCCTGTATGGTGGGGTTAACCTGCCTACAGTTCAAGGTGTTTTTTGGCTCTGCTGGAGGAGAGGGGAAAACAAAAACAGCCCCAAACCAATTTTCACACATGATCAGGGTTCATGAACTGTGCTGGTTGTGGTCCCTGGTGGGTGTTGGTGGCTGCTCTGGGCAGGGCTGTGTGTTACTTTGCATCTCACTGTGCAGGAGCTCTTGGGTAGAGACCGTTGCAAACACAGAAGAAACTTCCAGGTCAGCTTTTGTTCAGCTGTGAAAACAACCTGAATAAACAGTAGAGGAGGCAAAACCACTTCTAGTCAGATTTTGGCACCTGTTTCCAAAAGGAAAAAAGTAGTGTTTTGGGATTTGTTTGGGGTTTTTTCCCCCCTGTTACCCTCTCAGGTTTTGCACTGAAAGGGAAGCAGAACACAGAGCTCTTGCCACTTTTCCTTCCCCTCTTTGCTCCCTTGGGCTTTGCAGATGCTGCAGGTCTGTCCAGACTGGGTGAAACCTCTTGATCCTGAGGCAGCTTTTCTGTGATTTATTGCATCTGCTGTGGGGGATCAAAAAAACAAACCAAACAAGCCTGTCTCCAGGGGTCCTCTCATTTTCAAGTGTGATGCTGCTTGTGTCTTTGTCACCTCCCATCACTCTGCAGGGTGTCACTGGCAGTTCCCAGGGGCTGCACACTCTCCTCCCACCCAGAAAGCACACAGATGGAAAGCTGGAGGGAACGGGGAAGAAAAGCACAATCACACAAACCCCCCCCTCAACTTATAGACACAGTCAGACCTCTTTCTGCCTCTTTTTTTGAGAGAAATTTCCTCCTGATACCTCATGAGCCAGCCTGTAACCAGGGAGTGAGCCCTGGACCTCAGTGACCTGCTACACTGGAGTAATGTAGGAGCCTCATGTGGCTTGCAGACCAAGCCCTGATGCCATTGCAGGTTTTATTTCACCCTCCAATGCTATTTTTTTCCCCCCTTTTTCATATTTTTTTTTTGTCTCCTCAGGCTTTATTAGTAGTGGTAGCACCATAGATGAAACACTTGATTTGAAACCACAATCCCCACCTCACCTTTCAGGAAGGTCTTGCTGGATATAAATCACACCCTCGTGGAGGGATAGTTCTCTAGGAATTGAGGTAAAACATGTTCCTTTTGATGCTGGAAAAAACCCTCACGTGTCAGAACAATGTCTGACACCAGCAATAACCTGTCCCACTGGGAACACACCAGCACCAGGCCTCTGGAGCATCTCTTGGCCACTTAAACCTGGCTCTAGAGATACTTTAATTACTCCTTATGGACAGAAATACCAGTAGCCTTGATTTTTAATTTTTTTTTTATAAAGGATTGAAATCTCCTTAATTTTTGAATGTACATGGTAAAATGTCCTTTCCTGGAGAAGGGTGACCAGGATTGGGACAACACTTAAGAGGAATGTTCCACTAAAGCTTGTCAACCACCCAACCCCAGGGGGTCTGGCTTTGCTGCAGCTCATCCAAACTGGAGGGGGGGGGGAGGGAAAATGACTTTTTAAACAGGATTGTTCTGTTTTTTAAAAGGAATTCATTAGTCCCTTTGTAAACAGGAACAGAGCAGAAATCTTTTTAGGAATGGTGAAAAAAAAAAAAACCAAACCACCACCAAGAGGAATGTAAAGTTAAAAAGTAAATAAATATATATATATCTGTATTTTTGGATCATGTTAGAGATAATGGATATATTGTTATAAATAAAAGTATTTTTGGGAACAGAGGTGTGAGAGGGTGGTGTGTGGGGGTGCGGGGGGTGGTTGTACCGGGGGTGGGGGTTGGACCGGGGCTGAGGGGTGGGTGTGCTGGGAGTGGTGA